CTATTGCTAAATACTCACTTTGTTAATAGTTTGTTCATAGTTTGTTAATAGTTTGTACATATTGTTCAATAAATCTTGTTTATCAACTTCTTCGCTGATTCACGAATGATATAGTAATACATAATAGAAACGTAAATCAGTACTCATAAAAATATAATTATTACAAATAGAAGTTTTTACTCTGTTGGAACCTGGTTCGAATAAACAATTCGCAATAGAGCGAGAGTTGTGAACCGAAAAATCAGAACAACAATGCTGTCAAAAATGAAAGAAAATAGGAGCATATGTTACTCAAAACATCAAACGAGTGCCATAATCAAGTTTAAAATCAAATTCTGATCTGAAATAACTAAAAAAACACCCGAATTCATCAATTTTGAGCTAAGTTACAGCATTTTTTCAAAAGAGAACGACCGGGTTATTTTTTTTTCACGTAAAAATTATTTTCACGTGGCGCATTCCCGGGGGTATATAAGCTGTGGAGCAGCCGAATCACGTCAGTTGGCGGTGTGAGCCGGTGAGCTCCACTCCTCTCTCTCTGGAGGTCCTCCAGAGGGGGGGGGGAAGCTTATCGGCTCGCAAGCCAGGGGTGGGACCTGGACAAGTCTGGGTTCTATCCCAGACGCACCGAAAGGCTGCATTCCATCTAAACCGTCCAGAACGGTTGCATTCCAAATCAAACCGTCCAGAACGGTTGCATTCCAAATCAAACCGTCCAGAACGGTTGCATTCTAACCTAAGCCGTCCAGAACGGTTCGTCTAAACAGTTTCGTTCTCTTCACGGTACAATTTACAAGGGCTGTGGTATAGAAAGAGGGAAGAGTCTACTTACAGGATACAGAAACAGAATAAACAGTTGTCAACTAATTAATTTCCTCTATTTTCTGATTCGGATGTAGGTCTATTCATACAGAACTTGAGTCATACGACAACTATAAATACGTATAGAGCATTCTGTCGTCATGGTGAGCGGAATTTCCCGAGACTGCAGGTTGCATCGAACTGCCCGGCATATATATCTTCAGGTGATGTCTCGTCCAGCTGTGAAAACAATCAGTTCCACTCCTCTGGGTGATCCTGCAACGTCTACTGTGAGAAACTTCAGGAAACCAACTGTGAAAGCTCGCGTAAGTACAGCCGATGCGACGAACTTGGAGCGGAAAAAAGAAACCGAGAAGAGCAAAGATCCACCAGTTGTCGAAGTAAACAAATCAAAGCCGAAAGAAAGTTCGGATGTTGAAGGTCGACAAGCGTCTGTACTGGAAGAAATACAATGGAAGACGTTAGTACTGGGTTCTCATTATCCAGAAGACTTTGATTCTGGCAATTGGACTTCACGACCTGGGTGAGGAAAAAGTTCTTCTTATTTTGAACGTTGGATGTATTTAGAGACACTTTCCCTTTCGATATTGTAATAGGATTGGATCAAGTCTGTAACGTCTACAAAGTTCTTCTGGATGTGGATGACAATCTTTTACGTGAGTTGATTCTGTGTGTTATACAGACAATTCCTTCTCCTTCAGCCAAAAAAATTGAGATATCTATTGGTCTTGGGGATGCATCCTTGCCCATAAATTATAAAAATGCTAGAGAAGCAAATTTCAAAAGCCCAGTTGCCATGGAGTACTTCAAGCGAGAACGTAGTCGCAGTCGATTAGAAACGAAGTTCGAATGAAGACTCTCAATTCTATTGATGAATCGATTATTTTCAGAACAGCCTTTGTGGATAAAATAGGTCAGTACGTATGGCTCCAGATTCATGAGCCATTGCGACACAGCAAGAATCCGGCTGGTCAAGTATCGGCCTACTTGAATTTTCTTTAACGAACATAATATTCAGATAAAAATTACAAGCTTTACCATACTGGGCTACCGTATTGCTGGAGATGATTTCAGCGATTTATTGGAAGAAACAAAGTAGTCTTACATAAAGAGCGAAAGCTTCTTTTGAACATGAAGTATTTGAAGGAATGATGACTTCCGTCCCACTAGCAGAGATGAAAGAGAATACAAATTGTATAATTCGATGGAAAAAGCTGCAGCAGCTAAGGCCAAAGCCGAACCAATTGAAAGACACAGCTAGTAAGCGCTGGATGTATTAACTGTTCTCATCTGAATATGCCTAGTAATGGTGATGGGATGAAGACGAATTCTGACCTACTAGCGTCCGATCCACTAACGACTCTGCGAACAGTCAAGAAAACATTGGAGAACAAACGGAACGTTGCCAAAGAGGTTTCCTAAATGATTAATCAGCTCAACCAAATTTGAATAGACCGGCAGAGATGTGGAAGCAACTGTATGTCACCGAGCCGTCCAAAGACTTCTTGAGTACGAGGCTATGGTCGAAGATCTCCATGTCAGGCGAAGCAATGCTCTGGTTCATGGAGATCTTGTTATGGTGAGACAATTCTTCTTTTCATGATTTATCAATGCTATCTAGGCCGAACGCCACCGTCTAGCTATGGTTGATTGTCGGGATACAGCTCTTCGATCCATTCACGTCGACTTGCTATTCGATAAAGCTGAGGTATAGTTAAATGAGATAAGCATGATCACAACAAGTATTTCAAGTTACGAGCCATTGGCACAACTTCTGAGTGGTCAGAGAAACCGTGATAGTTTATGAATAAATATTTTAACTGTCTCTACATGGCAATAGCACAGATTACAAAACCCGTTCATGGAAACAAGTCAATCATATGGTAAAAGGTTTGAAAGATGAGTTCTGTACATATAAAAGCTATAACTTCAAAGCGTTATAAAAAATTTCCTGAAGAAAAGCTCGAGAACGAGCTTTGAATCTATACTCGTCTAATAGCTCTAAGACATCCGCATATAAACATGGCCATTCGAATAACCAGGAATGAGCAGCTCGTAAACTAGAAAAACAGAAACTATCTCTCTTCCATGTTGTCCCATGTCACATACCTCAGCAAATGCTTTTCTGGACCAATCTCTTTAATTTCAAGCATATCGACATGGTTTAAAACATGTCTTCTAAGACGAGCTACGTCAACATCAGTTGGCAGTGGATACTCTACAAATCAGGACTAATAAATTAAATTCAAACATAACATACTTTCTGTGTTTGCACTACAATAGAAACATCGCAGTGCGGAATGTGTTAAATCCGCGTCTGTTCGCTGGCTTCGGCCTCCATGACCACTTTTAGCTCCACGATCTTCCATTTCACTAATAATGGAAGCATGGTATGATCGCGGAGAAAAGATATTCTACAAGTTTGAAACTTTCTCTTTTCAACTGCATCATGGACATACCATACACATTACATCGACATCAATCGGCAATGCTGTTATGTGGAAGTTCACCATGTTTGGAGATACTTTCTCACTCTGAGACGACTGCCATTCCAATACAGGATAAGTAACGGTGTCTTCCATTACAGCATGACGGTAAAGTGACAGACTCTGTTCCTTAAATGCATAAGTCAATCATGTTCCATAATACTGTAATTGCCTCAGCATCCGTCATGAAGAAGTAGCAAACGGGGTCACCAATGTTCCGATTCACTTGAAGGCACCGTCGTAAAGGCATCGGAGCCAACCTATGTTTCTCACGCAAACGAGTTGAAAAATGGGGTTCCACTTTAACGTCCGAAAGCTGGAACAAACCGATTTCATACATCTATAACTTGGAACTTACGGGATCTATATCTACTCGACGTTCATTCCCTATCGTATAAGACACATAAGGGGCAACAGTGGACGATCTTGATCGTGTTTCCCATTCATCGCCCAAAGATCCGGTAGTTGTTGCTCTTCTACGAGCTGTAATAAGCTTACCATAAGCTATAGAACCACATCTAACTTACATGTGCTTGAATCATCGATCATAGAGCTCAATGCACTCGTAACTGCAGACTCGCCCGTTAATGTTCTCTCATTACGAGCTCCCGCCTCAACACTGAATTTACGCATTATGATTTTTCTTAGACTATAAACACCTTATGGATTCCATCGAGGAATAAGATGGTTCTAGTAAAGTGCTTAACGCTGTCTCACTCCTACTTTTATGTAATCCAACTCTTCCAGGAGAATACACACATGACGCTATCTGAACAATTGAATTGAAATGTTTTCTTTCATTTTTTCCGTATACTCACATCGCTGTTAGATCTTGATCTCGTCTTGTTCACATGGGAAGGTGTGAAAGTGACTTCCTCAGATATAATCTAAACACCCGTACTCTGCTTTTGTTTTCAACAATAACATACCTCCGGAATATTAGGCGTTATAGTTCCTTTTCTCAAGTCTGTAACACGATCAGAACGCTCTGTTTCCAACTGTACTTCCTCAATGACAGAGCGATGACGATTACTTTCCCATCCGAACTTGGCTAAGGCACTCGCACCTAATAATTACTTGATGCGATGGAGTAGTTGATAGTTTATACCTCCAACAGAAGCACCGAGAATGTTCAAAGCCCAAAATGCAGTTCCACGTATCGATAACACAGGAGATTCTTCACAAAGTTTGAGAATCTTCGCCAATGTAGATGACATGAACAAAGAGATGCCTGAAGCGGAGTTATAAACTGAATCCACTAATTAACTGTACCATTCTCAGCTCCACCTATGTGTCCGAGAGCAATAAGAGCTCCTTTAACCTTATACGATTCTTCATCATCCTCCAGATTGTTCATCAGACTTTTTACAATTCGCAATTCCTGTATAATACTATAATGAATGGAAGCCCATTTTACTCTAAACCATTAATAGTCGTCGTCCTGTTGTATGTCGGGCCAGTGCTCCAAAAAGATGAATAGTACATCGAATACCAAACTTTTCGAGTCTATAAGATTTCAATCTTTCATTTTTTTTTATATTTATTGTATTCTATTGTTGAAATTGTAAGTGAGAGCAATTAAATCTCTTTCGAAAGGAACTATATTATGAGTGAATGAAGTGTATTCATCAAGAAAATGGAATGCAACCGTTCTATGCGTCTAGCCAGTTGGAAATGAGTTATTATTGAAAGTATAGTTACCTCTCACTACTTGTCCTACTAAAGGATCCATCTAATGTACGTTTAACTGATAGTAATGAAGTTCTCATTTCATCATCTATCATCTGTATGTATCGTTCATTTAATGACTGAAACGAGAAAAATGAATAAAAATTATATTTTCTTGATTTTCATTTTAGTACCGTCATCCAAAGTGAAATTGCATTCCGGCAGCCCTCTTCATCATCAGAACAGAATTCCTCAATTGAATATATATGGGCTTGTAGTAGAATTCCGGCTTCTCCAAAATTATCCAAATTTATATTTCGCAGATAGCGCACAGCTTCAGGATATAACTATCATTCCAAAGTTATATAATGGTTTACAGGTTCGAAACACTAACCGGTAGCCATACATGTAGTAAGCGAATGGCATGTCGAACCACTTTTACGCATGGATCAGCTAGCTGTCCCAGCAACAAACGCATACCCCATTTTCCGAAATCAGGAAGTTGTAGGGATGCTAAAGCGCCAACAAATCTCGTACACCATCTTCTAGCAACCTATTACAGCAATATGCGATAAACAGTTCTCATCCCTCTCATGCGCCATACCTCACTTGTTGACGTTAGCGCCTTCTGTAGGACAATCCTCGATATACCTTCATGTTCATAGTTCAAACAAGAAACAATCACTTTCACATAGTCCGTTTGTATTGAGGCGTTCATCATATCGATAAAACTGGAAAGTAAAAGTACATTTGATGTTTTTTTTGGACTAAGTTTCATTTTTCTTAAATCTCATCACAATCTAGTTCTTAAGCAGAACTAATCGGCTGAGAGCCTTGTGGCCTAGCCAACTAGCCTAGTCGTCACCTCCTCAATTTCTTAGAGTCTTAAATCAAGGACATTTCTCTGAGTTAAATCTACTTTGTCTTTGAAACAGCTCTATTGTCTCATCCTATACAAATCTCATTTCACAGCAGATCTTTAATATAAAAAACTGAATATAACAAGCTATTTGAAGATCATACAGATTTCATCAGCGAACATCTGTTTCAACACACTTTCTCCAATTTAAATTAGTCATTCTCTCATACTTCTCACATCAGCGATGTTGTGTGTGTTAGTGTGTGTGAGTGTGTGTGCACACACGCACCCATATACACCTCAATTACATTTATTCATCCTTCATCTCTGTTAAGAAAAAACCGCTCCTTCGCTTGTCTCAAAGCTATTCCGTTCCAAATCGCATTTCTTAAGCAATCTCAACTTTTTTTTCCGTCTTTTCCTCATCATCTCTCATCCCATCAACCTCATTTATAGTCGGATCTGTTACTGTTCACTAGCACAGCCAAACGCTTCTAATGATTCTTCGTTTCATTTTCTGTTCAACAGATCTTCTTCCCAACGACGTCTCCTGTGGCGTCGACCACTCACAGAACGGAGAGAACATTGAAACCCGTTTGTTCCTTCACTATTCCAACAATTCTCTTGTTCTCGCTCATTTCTTCGTCTTCTGACTCAACAAACAATCCCATATATATTCAACTCACAACTTCAGACTAATTGTAACATTCTGCTTTAACTGCCTCATTACAAAACGATTGTCGCTTTTTTTATTAAATGTGTTTGAGACGAACATCAATCACGCTATTCGAACCTCTACATTTAGGGCAACATATTCTTTGACTAACCCATATCTCTATATCCCCCTCTCAGTCTCTTTCTCTCTCTCTCTTTATCAAATTAAAACGTAGTTTTTGAAGATTTCAAGAACAACAAATGGAACAAGGGTCATCCCGTTCTGTATTATCTTCAGCTTCAGCTAGACTGACACTTATATACATTTAGTTACTATCAACAACAAATTGTTGTCCAAACTTGTCACTATCCGACTATTCTCAATTCGCCTTCAATTGTTATCCTATCTATTCTCGTTACAACAGTAAAAGAGAATAGTAATACACTGTTTGAAATCGGCGGAAAAATCTTGTCCGGGATAGAAAGTTGATCCATCGGGTTGACTTCTCGTCCACGGGGTCAGATATGTTCGGAAGCCGGGATTGAAAGCTAGAAGCGACCGGTTTTTGTGGCACTATCTGATAGATCCTCTTACATGTGAAGAAATATTACACGGTCCAGAAAAATGGGAATATCTAGCCAAATTAGCCATCACATTCTTAGTTAATATCCCACTTCATTCATTTTCTCTTATTTCAATTCTAAGTTTCCGCCCTATCGCTCAATACACCTTCTCACATCTGAACGTTTCTTAATCATCAAATGACTATTTCAATCTTTCACTATGCATTTCGATTTTTCTGTTCGAATTTCCATACTTTCGTTTTTTTCAGATATGAAAGTTATACATAGTATACTTCTACTAGGATTAGCATATCTGGTTAGTGCTGAAGTTCCAGCATGCCAAAACGCCAAATGTACTCATTGCGAAGTTGAGTTCATCAAACGCATGTGCCCAAAGCAATGTGGGCCATGTTTCAAGGTATCCGAGCAGAGAAAGACCCTCTAACAAGCATATGCTTTTCAGAACTTCCGAGCTAAGCAGAGAGCTGCTCCAACAGTTCAAACTCAAGTAAGCGTTTACCAAACAGATTCCTCTGATATCTTATATTTATAGCAACAGTCTGTTGTTAATAACGTTGCTCAACAACAGCCTGTTTATCAGCCACTTCCTATTGCTTTCGCTGCTCCACAACAGCAGTTCCAATACCCAGTTGATACGTCTACCTTAGCACCACTCATTGAGCAGCCACGTGCTGAATACTTAAGCCCACAATTAGCCCGTCAACCAGCTGATTTGGCTCAACCACTCCCAGAGTATCAGAACATTCCTGTTGGTCAACAGCCAATCACCCAAACTGCTCCTCAACAGTCCCAGTTCTTCAATCAACAACCCCAACAACAATTCGCTCAACCCAGCTTATTCCCCGAGATGAACTTCCCAACCATAGCTCCACCAACGGCTTCTCAAGGATCCAACAATGCTTTACTCAATCCATTCCAACCCTTCTTCCAACAGACATTCCAGGTTAGATGACATGAGTGGTACTAGTAAATCAAAATGATTATAGAATGGAGGATTATCCGCTTTGGACCCCTTGGGATTGTTTAACTTCGGAGGAAACAACCTTGCTCAGGTATAGTTCATATGCAGCACCTTCAAGTAACATTCTAACAACCGCATCAACTTATAACATATAGGCTGCTCCTCTAACCCAAGCAACTCAACCAATATCAAATTATCAATCTCAACAACTCTCACCTTTCCAATCTCCATATCAAACTCAAGCTCAACAAACGCTACCACAGCAAACCCAATATGCTTCTCAACAATACAATCAACAACCTCAACATCAATATAATCCTCCACAGAATACCAACTTCCGGGGAAGTTATCAACAAGGACAAGCCCAAGTTAGCAGCCAAACTACCCAAAACCAAGCTCAAACACAACCTCAAACACAACAGGCATATCGTTCACAACAACCTTCATTCAACATAGATCTACCTCGATTGCCAACAATGAATGTAAGCTACTTTCCACTTTTCTATTGTTCATTACGTTTTTAGCTTCCACAAGTTCCTCCTAGCCCACCAGCACCAGTTAATCTCCACGGACAATACCAGAACGCTAACGCACAGCAGACATCTCAACCACAGCCTATTCAACGCACTCAACAACCTGTTCAACCACAACAGCAAGTCCAACCATCTGCTCAAACCCAACCAGCCTATCAGCAAAACTTTGCTCAGGTTCAAACGGTAAGCCTTCTTACTATTCTTGGTTTGACTCACTATCTCAAATTTTGATTTAGCAAGCACCAGTTCAAACATCTCAAAGTATTGACCGCCCACCAGTAAACTATCAGAAATACATTGATACAGGAAAGGGACCCGTAGGTGTTGCCCCTGTAGCACAACAGGTTAGTTCTCAGAATCGTCCTCTCATTGTTTGGTTTTGCAGTGCCCTCGTCAACCAGGATGGTCACCATGTATTACAAAGGATCAAGCAAATGACCGTTTCCGTAACTGTTGCGCCCGCTTGGGAGAAGGATGCGTGCCTCTTTGCAATTACGATGCAACATTAGCAACTGTAAGTGTTCAGGCTTTGGAAGACTTTTCAAAACCACTTCCAGATGCAATTGGCTGTTTTGACTGGGCGGTGTCCATTGAACAAAGTAGCAGATATGATGATTTGCGCCTCGGGATATCAAGATGCCACACCCTGCTGTGAAGCATATAATGTCTTCGAACCTGGATATGAACATTGTCGCCCATACTGTAATCCAGCAGCCGGTCTGCCAGAAGGAGGATTGCTCTCTGAGAAATATAAATGCCTCGTGAAACTTGGTGCCATTCAACAATGCTTCTATGTTTCACAAAAGCCATAGATGTCGATTATTATTTAAAATCCTATTTTGCGAGTCCTCCCCAATTCTCAGAAGAAAGTCTTTCACTAACGCAAATTAATCCAGGCGTGCAATAAGAGCTATCTCTTAGGATATATCAAGTTTTCGAATGATATTATATATTTCTAGATATAAAATAATAAATTATGACAATCTAATGATTATCTTGAATGAAGAAATTATTTGACTCACTGTTGGAAGATTCCTTTCGAGTTTAATATGCTGACGCCCATTGTGTGAGAAGTGTATGCTCCTATCAGAGAGAATATGTACATGGAACCCCCATATGACAGATTTTTGACGGAAAATATGTTCGTTCCTTGGCAAAGCTAAACCATGAATGGTAAGTAAGGTGTAACATATTGAACAAACGTTATCCAAAGCTATTTTGAAATCATTAGCATAAGACTCCAGAGCTTGCATGATGGATGGATAGTCCGAGCAAAGTTGAAGTGAGAATAGAATAGCATTTCGGGCACATACAAATAGAATTCTATTGCTTTCTGGAGCCCAAGGAGGATGAGATGCGTTTGTCACACTCACTTCTGAGAGCAGCTGGAAGTATGATAATGAACACAAGTATATAGAACTCTGTAACCTTGACAAAGATAGTATTGATGTTTTCCACTTTATCAACTCTACGTGCAGTGTCTACATCATCCAGAAGAGAAGAAAACAAAAGTGAAACTACTTCCAAGTTCAAACTATCTCCTTTCCAACAACTATCCATCAATGATTGATGATCACTTCTAGCTGACAAATACAAATACGTTCGAAACTTTCAATTACAACACTTACTGTTCTTCCATCCAGAATATGAGCTCGACTTCCTTGGAATGTGAATGAACAAAGAATAATTTGAATCGGATGAAGGTGTACATGAAGCGTTCTGGATTGATATTGTATTCAAAACATCGAAGCGGTGATGAACTAGTTCGGCACTTCTGAATAAATGAGCTGAAGATCATGAACTGAGAAGATATTCTCACTGAGCATTAATGAAAGTATATTTGTTTCCTTGAGTGTCAAAGTTTTCATTCTTTGTTCCAACACTACTTGCGTTTGTTAGGGCTTCACAGGCACTTTGAATCAACGTTGGTAATGAGAGTATACTAGTGCTCCAAGACGATGGAATGACGGCAGGAGCCTGAACGGAATGATAAGTGGTAAGAAACAGACATGAACCGTGCACAACCGGCTCGAACGCGTTGGCAGCTAGAAATGGCATGGCGTTCATAACTTATATGCGCGCGAAAAAAAAGAGCTGCTGATCGCATTCAAAATTTACCGTGTTTAACATATCAGCCATGAGAAGAGTAGCTTTGATCCCACTAGGAGCGTTTGGTTGAGCAACAATCAAACGCGAGAGAGCCTGAGGAAGTCCAGCATTAATCAACACGAGAAAAGCAAAAGCACGGAATGAGCTCAGGAGATCAACATGATTGCAATGCTCCTAAAGTTGGAATAATTGAAATTGCCGATGGAAGTGAGACTTACAGGGCTATATCTCATTATCATTTCACTCTGAGCCAGAACGAAATCTTCTTTCAAAGAGGATTCATAGGAATCGGGAAAAGTCCTCGAAGCTTAAAAACAGTCGTAGCTAGGGATTCTTGATACTGCAAACCGTAAAACTGAACAGCTTTGTTCCAGTCGTTCAGTCTCGAGTTGCCGTAAGATAAATCCATGAATTCACAGCAAATATCTACGATTATATCTCGAATTTTGCGAAGATTTGAATTTTCTACAGTTCCCAACCCCAGATACTCGAGGAGTCTGAAACATACATCACAACAGCCGGAGAAATGAATATGAAACCTTAGAGGCGAAGAGGAGATGATCGTACTGTTTGAACCCACGGCTGAGCATGCTATCAATCCAGACCAGGATCTTAGAATACACAAGAAGGAATAAGAGAAGTTGCTCATTATCCGTTCCACTTCTTTCTCGCCGCTTAATAACCAAGCACGTTAAGAAAACTCAGACAATCTTTCTTACAAATCTACCGTCGCAGGATTTTTTTGGAAGAAACCAAACTCAATCAAAGGAGCGAATATTTGCTGAAGCATAGTTTTGTACAAGATGAAGATAATAGACAACCGACTTCCAGCACTAGATGAAGTTGAGCTTTCAGCCGCACATCAGGATCATCAAGCCAATGAACGAGAACCCGTCCAACCATGGAAGCGATTCGCCGGCTAACTTTTGCAGTTCCGGTAAGAACACGCACCTGAGTTGTTCATATGATGCTCGGAAAGAAATATAAGTAAGTTCAAACCATCCAGTCTGTTCCAGCCATGTTGAGAATATGGTCAGGTTCATATATACAAAATTCCAAAAATGTAGCTATACATGGCAGAGCAAGTCTGAACGAGAAAATGAAAGAAGACCCTATTGGAGTTACAGCAACCTGTCATCATCACTGTGATAGTGTTTTCGTACGTTTGTTTGCACTTGTTCGCTACTTTTATCTCCTGTTCCAGACTTATCAACAACTCCGGTTATATTAATGGCAGATAATGCTATCGCTATCACAGGTTGCATGACGGAGCGTGGAAAAGCATACTTTCTAATAGAGGGGAATAGATGTGAGACAGCATAAGAGAACGAACTGTTTGTTTTTCTGAGACTTTGTGGATTCTATCAACTTTTTGAGGTTTGAGGACTGATAAACAAGGATTAGTTGGCTAATGAGTTGCAAGGCTTCAATGCGCTCTACTTCGTTCTCAACTCTCAAATCCAACCCACTGCAAATGCAAATCAGACTACGAGAGGCACATAATCTGGCTTACCGAACGACGTAAATGTCAATGTGCGAGACGGATAGTAGATGAGTCAGGTTTCGTTCAGTAAAGAGACACAAGCGAATTATACGAAAGCTCATAGCTCTCAGCAATGGAAAATCATCTTTTATGAAAACGATGACCCTAGAATGGACAAAGGAAGTTACTTGAAACATGTTTTCTCTAAACTTTGAACATATCGACTCGAAAAACTCATGTGAATTTAATGAATCTGGTGATGTTTCCAGTAATAACTCGAGTAAACGGTTCAGAAAGCTGAACTTCTCTTCATAAGGAGAATTCACAGCACCATCGTAGTTGGAAGCAATGAACTCTTCGCAGGCTGACCTGTCAAACCTAGAGACTGTTGGGCGCTTAATAGGAACTGAAAATGAAAGCAGGTATGAGTAGTAACTAGTCGTAAGTACTAACTTTTACGGAGTTTCGACGATTTGCGCAAGCTATTAACCCGAAAAGACTCATTTTTGATTCGAGTTGTCTTAGGAAGGCGCACGGGCCTACTCAGAGAGAACGCTTCACTCATTGAAAACTCATCTATAACAAGTAACTTTGAATGAACAAATCTATCACAATGAACAAGCGAAATTACTGAAAAAGGGAAAGTATTATACAGCTAAATGTAAATTTGTTAGCTTTTGAGCATGCTGCGTACTCATTTTCAGTACGACGCAGTGACGCGTTTGACGCAGTTTCAGGATTAGATCTTGCCCTTCCTACTTTTTTCAAAGTCAGGACCATGGTGTAAATTGGAAGGAAATGACCGACCGATGGCATGCCAACGTCCCTTTTACGTGGAAGTTAGCGTGAAGCTCACGTCTGCGTACTTCATTTCTAAACTCAATCGACGTGAGAGCGGTTGTTCACTGAAATGCTGCTAACTATCTCGCAGTAGAACAAATGATTAGTCAACAAAAGTGTGAATATAAATTTATTGGCTAAACATTTGAAGAGCTCTATCAGTTCCTGAGTACGTTGAGGAAAGCTTCTTTGGGGATTTGGACGTTTCCGAGCATTTTCATTCTTTCCTTTCCTTTCTTCTGATGACTGAGTTTTTTGTTCAATCTCTCCATTCCTTAATACGAAGATGAGCATTTTGACAACTATGAGAGATACCTCCGCCTCCGAAATTTCCTTTAAGCAATTGACTAAAATCTCTTTTCATTGGTTGAATCGTTATTTGGGACAGAGCCTTCGTTGAACTTCCAACACAAGCTTTGATTGTAACTTCGAATTGTTGTCGTGGAATTTCTCTTTTTAGCCTTTGAACGACGAGCTTCGCACGATCCCGGGCCATAGCTGCTGGTACTATTTGAGAAAATTCGGGGACCTATGGGAATTACTTTCAAACTAGCTCGTATATGCTACATACCTCCTTCCCATTAATGGATATGGATAATTTGATAAGCTTTGAAGAATTGTAACCATCATGTTCATAATCGAATGACACGTAGCCCGAAGTTAAACGTTTCAAGCGTTCAAAGAAATCAATGACAACTGAAAATCGAAAAATGCTGAAGATGACTTCGTACGAGCTCACCTTCTGCTAGAGGTAATCTCCAAATGATCATAACTCGTTCTTCATCAATAGATGATATGTCTCCTCTTTCTCCTCGACTATCGGAACATAACCCGTTAACAATACCCATATGTTCAGTTTGTACAATCATTCGAACCTGAATAGTAATTGAGTGGAAGGATCTGATAGCTTTAATCACCTTAACCATTGGTTCCATAAAGTCTTCTACATCACTTTCTGCAGGGAATTTACTAGGATCAAGAATTCTTATTTCACCTAGCCCTCCATATCGTTTCTTTCTAATAGTTTCGTTGTCCTGAAATAAAACAAGTTGCTAAGCTGGTTTATGAATGATGTGGAACCTTAATAGTAGCCAAATACTCGACCGAAGGCTGTGTCAGAATAACATTCGCACCATACTCTTGATCTAACCGAGCACCAAACACTTCCATATGAAGAACACCAAGGAATCCCACCTAAATTGATTGATTGTGTGTTTCTCATTCCTCCAAATAAGAACTCACTCTCCAACCTAAACCAAGTGCTGGGCTAGAATCGGGAGTCACCACGACAGCAGGATCGTTCAAACACAATCGTTCAACAGCCTATCATACAGTTCATTGAAGAAATCAAATAAAATTGATCTCACTTGCTTCAGTCCTTCGTACTCCGGAGTTTCAAGAGGGAACAAACCAGCGTAAACCGTGGGCTTGATAGGTTTGAAGCCTGGTAAGGCTTCAACTGTATCTTTGATGGATGGATCGAAAAGTGTTTCTCCAACTGCAGCTTCCTAGAAGTAATACTCGCTTGATAAAAGAAACATAATATGAATAAGAACCTTGACTGTTTTCATGTTACACACTATATACCCAACTTGACCAGCTTGAAGGCTAGAACAAGGCGTCATGTCCGGCCTCATGACTCCTACCTTAACAGAGATCAGAGTTTTCCGTTTTTGTAAGTGGATCATACCTCAACGACATCGTATTCTTTCTGATGATGGAAACTTCTGATCTTTTGGCCTTTTCTCACTGAACCCTCCTTTACCAGTATGAAAGCAATAGCTCCCCGAAAGTGCTCGAACAAGGAGTCGAATATGAAAGCCCTGGGAACAAGAAGTTGCGTTGTCATGTCTATTTATGTTTCACCTGAACGGAGCATTAGGCTCTACAGCAGGTGCAGGAATCCTCTCAATGATCTGATCTAGGATGTTATCTGTGTTCAGTCCCGTTTTAGCAGAAATCTTCAGACTTTCTCCGGGGTTGAACTCAAATAACTGTTTCAACTGACTCTCTACCTGAAGTCTTCAGCTTATCTACTTCTATTAAACAACTTGCTTACCTTTGGAATATTTGCTCCGGATAAATCAATTTTGTTTATTATAGGGAGCATTGTGATGTTCCTCTCGAAAGCTAACCAAAAATTGGATATTGTCTAAAGATTTTGGAAGTTACAAGCCCCAAGCCTCCTCACTAACTTGAGCTTGAACACCTTGGTTCGCAGCCACTAATAAGAGAATTCCATCACAGACAGAAAGAGATCGGAATACTTCAGCAGAGAAATCAGCATGACCGGGAGTATCGATGAGATTCAGTAGATAACCCTTTAAAGAAACATTCAGAGTGAAATCCTTGACTGCAGAAAAACCTTATAGGGTAGAGCAACTGTTTGAGCTTTGACAGTAATTCCCCTTTCCCTTTCAACTTGTAGACGGTCGAGCATTTGACTGTTTCTCTCTCCTTTCTTTATGACCCCCGCAACTTCGAGTAAACGATCAGCCAATGTGCTTTTGCCATGATCAACGTGTGCGACAATACTTTAAAGGTTTGAAGATTTGATAACAATCCGGGTGGGTGAGCAAACCTGAAGTTCCGTATCTTATCCGGGGTATATTTGTCCAAATTTACAATTTTAGTTGGATCATCCGGCTTTAAAGAAAAGGATCGGATTACCCTTTGATAAGATTTTCTATTATAAAATCGAAAAGGAACTCTCATTGTCTGAAGGCATTACCTAAAACAGGGTTCAGTCACAGCAGTCTCCCACACCACAACAGAAATCAACACAACGGCTATCAACCATTAGGAACTTTGAACACATTCATATATATATATATATTTATTATTAAAACAAGAATTTCTCAAGAACAAATACAAGTTCAAAAACGAATCAGAATTTTCTTTTCCTATTCTTAGAAGTCCTTAATTGGTTTCATGAAATCGAATTCTGACGCTTTAACAACGATAATTATGATCACTAACAACTAAACCGAGCCGAATCCTCCATCTAACGCTCTAGTAGCTCACAACAAGAGGACATTGAAGATAGCTTACGGAAACCTCTTCATCTGCTCAATAACATCATAATAACAAGTCTTAATTTGGATAAAAATCATAAAGCCGAGATGAATCTTGGAAAGCCTGCACTACTTTTACAGGTCGTCATGTTGAAAGGTCGTTGGATGAATGAGACAATCAACTAATCAGTCGAGCATGCAATGAGCTGTACTGGAGAAGAGAAAACGTATATATCTGATCAATCCCAATCAGTTTCATCGTCACTGTTCGGTACTCTCCGTAACTCCTCACCGGCTTTCATGATTGAGATCTGCTCTAACAACAGAGCATACTTCTCAGGATGAGAGGCAATGAATTGGTTAAGCTTATCAATGTGAACTGTGTTAACTGAAAAGCGAAGATAAGAAAGAGATAGAGTAGTTGTAGGAAAATACATTTCAAGTCCTCCTCTTCTACTAAAGAGAAACGATTCCGTCCCCAATATATTATAAATTCAATTTTCCGACGTCTAATACGGCAGTCTACAATTTCCACAATACTGTCATATACATGATCAGAAAGCTCTTCGTTGAAAATTTCCGTCATAATCACTGAAAAGAGGGAAACCAGTTAATAGTCAGGCAGCGCGGTAGTTGGACAATTCCGAAAATTGAAGCATCCATTATGCTAGATGAGCAATACCCGTAAAGGGCATGCGATGGAGAAAAAGGTTCGGAAAAAGAAAAATGGTTTTCGCGTTGCCAGATAGGAGAAAAAAGGAATCAACCAAGACACATACTAATGGCATAGTTTATGAACGACGAATTTCATGTCAGCCGCTTATATAGCCAAATATGTCGAATGGCTGGCTTGCTATCGAGTTTCCATAGCAACTATGTCCCACCCTGCTCGGCTCAGCCTTCACACAGCTCTTCTCGTGTTGTATATGGAAACTAATATAACGACTTAGCCGCTGTAAATGTTGTAAAAGCAAGATTCACCAAGTATTTACTTTCTCGGATATTAGTTTCTTTTGTTTATCATCTTCCTTTTGTCCGTTTCTCAAAGGAACGCTTATAGCTTTCCAAACTTACAGACCATGACTGACAACTCGGAATGGATAAACCAAAATCTGCAAAGACAGGTAATACCATCCAAACCCTCATGAAATATTGAATCCTCCTTTTTCTCAGAGACGAATGCTTGAAGAGAAACAAAGGATGAAACGTGTATGTTCGCCGAACATCCGAAGTAACCAGAACGCTTATACGCGATTGGAAAACTCTGACGGGTAATTTGTAGAGAATTCAATGATGTAAACACTTCCTTTTAAGCAACGACACTTATCCTGCATTCAATCAAGGATTTAGTGATACTGGTTTATCTCTATTTGCAAGCTCCGTCAGCTCAAAAGCTGAAACAACGGAAACCGTTAAGAAGGAAACACCATCTCCTGAGGGTAGCCCACAGACTGCAGGCTCTTTCCCCTTCTCCACCTCCAATAATTCATTCTCTAATCAATCTCAAGAAGGGAAAGAGTGAGTTGAAAGTTCAAAAAACAGATTCATTGAATAAATTGAAGTGATAATGATGAAGTGCATCGCCTACTGCTTGGTAAGCTCGAGAAGGCAGAGATCTCAAGCGTGGTCACAAGCGATGATGAGACGGGTGCAACAGGTATAATGAAGTACTGAAATGAGATAGAAACAAAACGTTTTGAGGAACTGTTACAACTGGTCCGGACGGACTAGAAACACACACACTGCCTGTAACGCTGCAACCAGATTACGATGAAATAGCAGCTGATGTAGAAGGGTAGGAAGCTTAGCTATCTTCCCACTTAACAAAATGCCATTTTAAGATTTGTCAAATCTCCAGCTAAAGGTAATCGGATTTATCGATGCTCTATCACGCGTGACAAAAAAGGAATGGATAAAGGCATCTATCCAACATATTATCTACATCTTGAGAGAGAAGAAAAGAAAAAAGGGGTTTGTTACTGATACACTTCGTGCTTGAAACATACAACAAGAACTTTCAGATCTTCTTATTGGCTGCTCGTAGGAGAAAGAAAAGTACGACAGCGAATTATTTGATATCATGTGATGCAACAGATTTATCAAGAGATGGCACATCTTTCATGGGTAAAGTGCGGTATGTTTTAGACTATGCCTATCATTCACCCGTCTTCAAAACTCAAATTACTTAAACTATTTCAAGCTGCAATGCAATGGGTACTACATTTGTTATATATAACGGGGGACAGAATCCGAAGAAATGTAATTCGTTGGAAGTGCGTCAAGAATTAGCTGCGGTCTTATATGTGAGTAAATTGGATATGAACGTAATTGATAATATATAAATTGAACAAAAGTAAATGCGCTGACGTTCATAATATCAGGAATGCAACCATTATGTGCGCTTGAGATTTTGAAAATGATTTTGGCATATGTCAGTATGCCACGTGTAATTAGCATAATTGCAACAGCGCTCATTTATTTATGCTGATTGTGATGACAAAGACAAAACATTGCCAAAACTACAAACGGATTCGGAAACAGAACAATGAACTTACTATTATAGGACACTAATGTTCTCGGTTTTCGCGGTCCTCGTAAAATGACGGTCGTGATTCCGGGAGTCTACGATCCACACATCGCCTCTTCGTTCAAACGTATTCCAATTCAACCTGTAGATGAGAGAGATACATTGGTTGAGAGATTCAAACGTACTCGTGGAGATAGAGATACAAATAGTCAGATTGTAGTTATGTCGAACAAGCCTCCGGTTTGGAATGAAGGTAAACTACAAAGTCAGTATAGAAGATAGAAAATCACCTTTGATGTTACAGATTCCCAATCGTATGTTTTAAATTTTCATGGACGAGTAACGCAGGCTTCTGTGAAGAATTTCCAAATAATACATCCGTCTGATCGTCAGTTTGCCCATTTTCTCATCTTTCATGAGTTCAATATATTACAGCTGAGTATATTGTTATGCAATTTGGAAGAATATCTGAAGATACATTTTCCATGGATTTCAGATATCCTTTAAGTGCAATTCAGGCATTCGGAATAGCCATGACATCATTCCACGGAAAAATTGCTTGTGAATAAGCTAACGCCACACACTTTATTGTACTATGTGTGTTGTGCATTAGAAAATCATCAAATGATATATTTGGATCGACAACAAATAAAAATGTTTATTGTACCACCTTGCGTACCGTATTCGCAAATGATTAGAATACCATGATATGGACTTCTTTCTCTGAGTCTTCTGGGAAATTATCTATTTTCATAGCCAAGCAATGCAAGATACAAGTTTTTATGTTCAGCCTACAAGTGATTACGTTCAAGTAAGTATTGCCTCTCTGAATAATGAGTGGAGCATACGGATTCTCGAGAAAGTCTTCAGCAGGTGATTCATTTCCTTGCAATAGAAAAAATGAATAAGCTAACCATTTCTAGGCTTTCGAGCTTAATCGGCAAGGCATTCCTTTTCTATCTCCTTCCCCCCATCTTGGGCTTACTTCTACGTCTTCAAACACTTCAACCGCAGGTGTCCAGTGCGCTCCCCCGGATCTTTGGTTTGGGATATATGTCTGCAACGGTTGGACACTAGGAAAATGAAGTTTTGAAGAAATTCTCAAGCTATTTCCTCTACCCCTTTCCACCCTTAAGCACGATTCAAAATACAAATGTGCTGAGTTGACTATGACTGTCTAACCATCTTCTACGCTTGCCCGGAAAACGCCCAAGAAATTGTTTTGGCTCACCTCGTGAGCGTTATTCACAAATAATTAGCATACTGTTGCAAGGACTTTTTTGAGATTGTTAATAAAATCTCAGAGGAACATGTTGGAGGAAAGGTACATCTCTGAAATGAAAACGAAAAGAATCTCCAAAAACAACTGCTGCTCTCCTAATGAGACTGAAAGTGTGAAAAAACAAAAAAAAAACTGACTTTTTAGAAAAAGAAAACCGTTTTTCCCTCCTCAATTAGCAAATGCTTCTTTTTCTATTCTTTAAAACAATTTTTTTGAACAAATATTCGGTCGCGTTCGTTCGGTTGGCAAACCAGTTCTCTTCCAGCTTCTTCATCCAGTTTGTCGTCTGGTCAGTTGATGGTGGCAAGTTCGTCCCATGAAGTAAACTTATTGAAACTTATTGTCTACAATAACACTTTTTCTTGTTTTTTCACGTTTGTATCAAAATTGTTTTGGAAATGTGCCGAACTGATCTGGAACAAAACGTTTCAAGTAGGAACTTCCTTAAGAATCTCTTACAATCACGTAAATTTGATGATTGTTTTGAACTTTCGTCACACCAACTTCAAAAACAAAAATTTTGAGGTTCAACTGATAAGCTTGTTGAAGAACAAAACGTATTTCTTGTCTTTCAGCGAACGTTTCGGAACTTTCCCATTCATGCGCTGCGATGATTCCATTTCGCAAAGTATGATGCTCGATCAGGCGCTCGGACAAAGCCATACTGATGGCTCATGGAACAGTTTGCAAAACGTTGTGACCTTTGCATCAGTGGCCGAGTCGCTTCAAAAGATTTGAGAATTGAAAAATAAGAAAAGATATGAATAATCAATGCATATAAGGATAATAATAAGAGAAAGAAGAAGATCTATCGTACCCAGCACAAGACGGCATCTGACTAATCATCTCATAACATCCACATACCTTCCTCTTGAGATTTTAAATGTCAAAGGCTAACACAGTCTGCATTCCGTTATTCATCTTTATATTCAAAAAATGTTTTTTATTTTCCAAACAATCGCAAATGTCTTTCTCTTACAATCATTACCGTATTTGGGCTATGTGTCTTCCTCAAGAATTCACTCCGCACCTTCTCTTTATCCATACAAATACGATATTGACACAGTCATACCTCTTTTGATAATTCCTTTCATTAATGGAATCATCGAGATTATCGTCATTTCTTAGAAACAAATTAAGCGCAGACAAGTGATACCAAATGTTCCATTTGAAAATTATAAAACAGGAGCAAGAGAGAGAGTGTGAGATCAAAAAATAATTCATCAATCAAATTTGTGTTCGACTGCTCTCCCATCAACTCAACCCATCGTGTAGTGTCTGACCATTGTGCTAACTTATTTTTCTAGCGGCGTCTCCAAAACTGTCAAAATCGACGAATACTATGCAAAATGTAGTTCGATTCTCCTTTTTTGAGATGAAAATAGACAAATATTTATGAAAAATTAGCTGGAACATAGCAAAGAGAACTAATAAGACAGTACAAGAGATTAAGAGAGGACAGACAAATAAGAACGGTACATAAGGTGTGAGGGAAGAAGAGACACGAAGAAAATGAACGACGAGAGTTCTCCATTCTAGTGATGAGAGAAGTTGTATAAGATGTTCATCAAGAGAAATTTTTTTAAACGAGAATGCGAACAAAACAAGTAGAGGAAGATGAAGTAAAGGAATGGAAAGCAGGTTCTGAAAAAGGTTCCTGCGTACACTGAACTTCTGGAAATTATGCGAAGCAACTCATTCACCACATACTCACACACCTCACACACACCACATACACACACGTATACACACTTGTCCTAAAATGCCCATGAAATTTAATTATTTTATTATTGTTTCATAAAACTGTTCGCGAAGTCAGAAAACTTTGTTTATGGAATAAAAGCAAAACTCGTTTGTCATTGTCCTTTGTACTTGTCGTCAAAGCGTGCTTAAGTGGATGAAATGAGAATAATTTGAAAAAAAATCTCGTAACTGATGATATTAATTCAAAAAATCATAAATAACGAGATATAAGCTTCAAATTATGCGTTAAACAAATTAGATAAATAGGAAAACGAGAAAAAAAAAGAGACATGGAATGCAACCGCCTGCGCATTGACGTAATTTCGAAAATGAACTGTACGCGCGTACGCACTGGGTACTGCTCCACGGGATAAATTAGCATAGGAGCATGCATGCGTATGTCACGATCCCTTCATACATCCCACTCGTGGATTATTCGTATTACTGTTGTACGCGTGCCCTGTGGAATTCATGAAAGTTTTGAAACTATTTGGAAATTATAAATTTCAGTTGCTCATTACATGTGCTGCTTATATGCTCAATGAAGTTAGTTAATTAGTTAAGCAGATGTATTGGAATGGTATAAAAACGATTTTTTTCGTTTTTTCCTCTTTCTCTCTATGATCTCTTTGCCTCTTCATCTCTCTATCCTTCTCTCTCTGTGAGTCTGTTGGGAATTTATTTATTTTTATTCCAAAACTTTGCAAAATATCAAGTTTTTATGTTAATTAAAGCCAAAAAATGAGAGTTTCAACTGATCATTTCGTTTAAAATCACGTAAAAACAAAAAAAAAATTATTTTTTTCTCATTATGTTTTGAGATTCTCACTCTCATCAGTTCTTGCTTCCGATAAGGCGTCAGTCTCTTCATCAGGCTAGCACGTCGTCACTTGCATTTTACAGTCTCTTCTTTCCGCCCATCATCATGGCTGAATAAGGCTGTTTCTAAACATTTTGCCATACTTGCCAGATAGGAGTAGGTCATCACCTTTCATTGCCCCTTCAGTTCATGAAACAGTGAAGATATATCTGTTTTTCATCCCTTATGGTACTCCTACTACCGTTCGGCTGATTTCCCATATGCACTTCTCACTTAATTATCTTCTCCATCTCTCTCTCTCTCTCTCATTCTCTTTTTATTAAATTCTATTTTTTTCGGTAATTTTTGACGCTTATTTCATTTTCTTAAACTCGTTCACTCCGCCCATCTTCACCCCGTTCTCTCCAGTTGCTTCTGATTACGGCACCGCCCACCTGTAGCTGTGATTCTAGTCTAACCTTTAAAGGATGGCAATGTTTCCTATAAAAGCAGCTGGGTCACTATTCCATTTTCCTTTTTTTACTTGAAAATACAAACTGTTTCCTTTTCCGCAGACGATGTTTCGGAGAATGGTGTCGATGAGGAAGCAACTCTTCTGAAAGGAAAAGCATGAAACAAGCAGTTCAGTTCACATTACCATTTCGTTTTATTGCACCTTTCTTCTATTGCTATTGTTCTCCTTGATCATTTCTGAGAATTCAAAGAAACTCTCATTACTTCTAATCTTTAAGAATCAGAGGAGTCGAGCACTCTGTTAAGATGGTCTGTGGGAAGTTTTGCCCTCGTCAACATCTTCTGATCATTTATCATTTTGTCTCATCCACATAATATACTCATGAAAGATCGTTCGTTCAGTTGAGAAGTTCCATATCACTGCAAGTCTACACCTGTGGTTAACTTTAAGATCTCTTCCTCTCCAGCTCTCTCTCTCTCTTTTACATTTCACGTCTTCTTAACTCAAACCTTTCCACATCAGTCATCTTATGTGTTTGTACTTCACACATTTTTTGGAAGAAAGGCAAGTTATCACATCATTAGTGAAGATTCGCCTTCTGTTTCGTCGTCGTCATCCTCCTCCTTTAGTTAGCATCAACAGCGATCATTGAGACATCAGCGATCACAAAGTTTCCAAATAAACGAGAAATCCATCTGTAATCATCATCTTTCCAATAATATGATTTGAGAAATGAAAATGACAAACTCAGCCATACACACACACACATACAGACATTTACTGTCATTCCTTTCCGGAATATTTCTCAAGTGAGGTAACCCAACGTCTGGTACTATCGGGCCGATTGTCGCAGAAAACGCTCTTGAACATGAAATTCTTTAGCATCTCTTTTGATTCTGTTTCTGGTTGTTTTTCCTTCTCTTACCTACTCTGTCCAATTGTTTTCCAAATTTACAATCTCAAAAATGTTTCCATCTTAACAGGTTTTTATCTTTTATAAAGGACCCGATTTCTTCTGTCAAATGGAGTCTGAGCTAATATACTTTCAATTGTCATCTAACTATATATACGTCTATGCCATATATAGATAAGTCGAGAGAGAGAGAAAGAGATTCATGGCTCTCTCTCTCTCTAAGATTCTTTTGAAGTCTACCTTTCCTTTCCTATCATCTCTCCCTCTCTCTCTCTCTCTCTCTCTTTTTTTTGAGCTCATCACATATCGTATCAATGTAATAGAGTTTATGAGGCATAACTTCATCATATTGAACTTTCTCATCAACAGCATCTTCAATCAACATGCTCTCTTTGTCTTTCGCGTCTTCATTCTCTTCATCTCGCCCTCTATCTATGCCTTGAAAGGTAAAAATTGTAACTTTCCACTACCGTATGGACAGAATTGTCTTGTAAGTTGGTGTATGTTGCACGACGACGAGCAATGCTATTGAAGAACGAAAAAGCTGAAACAGAATGTTTGTAACATTAGCATTACGAAAGCACGTGAAACGATCAGAAGACAGGAATAGAGTGTATTGAGGAAGGTGAGAACAGGAGAGAGTGAGAGAAAGAGGGACGGAAGGTAAGCCCTTACTGTCTCGAATGAATCACACAGCTCTTCCTTATATGTCTCACTCATCAATTCATAACAGAATTTTAGTAGTTTTGACTGATTTTTGTTGAAATATTTGAGAAACAAGTCATTCAGTCGCTATTTACATCTTCATCAACCACTTTATAGCTCCAATTGTCTTTTCCTTTATCAATCTGTAAACTCATGAGAAAACTACATGTTTGACAAACATTCCTTTAACCCTTCAACGCAAAAAAAGTATCTGAGAATGTCAAATTTCGCTTATCTTTTCCCTCATCATCATACAGTCTATTGCCATTGCCTTTAAGTCAGCTCTCCTTTAACTTTTCCGTTCTCTCTTTCTCACTCTATCCCCCCCCCCCCCTTAACGACATACACACATATGCATCTGAAGATGTATAGAGAGAGAGAGAGAGGGAGGAAGAGAAAAAAAAATTACACGAAGTTCACAAAATTCTGCATCTGACCCAATCAAGAATCTTCAACAGCACAGCAGTGTGTATGTGTATGGTGTTCGTCGTCTTCTTCCGTCTCTCTCTCCGTTCGTTCGTTCATGTCAGTTCGTTTTCCTGTGCTCAGTCAACTGTCCTCCATAATTCTTTGCATTGTTTTTAATTATACTTGTTCAGTGATAGTCACTAAAACTCGTTTTTCCACACAACGCTCTTTGCTAGGAGAATCATTGAATCTTGTGTTCAAAAAAATTAAATAAAAAAGGAAAAAAAGTAAAAAACTGACTTTCAGTCGGCTCCACACCGTCTCTCTCTTCGCCCCCTTCCCCTGCTGCCTCCCCCCCATACTCTTACCTTGATTGTTGTTGTTCATGATAAACTTCCTCTTGTGTAAAGCTGTTGAACATCACATACTTAACCATACATGTCGTTATAGGTTCATGTCGGACGACGGTAACATATTGAAGATCCTTCCTAATCTACTGGAATATGATGTACGCATAAATGTGCGGAACTTACGTGATTCCAAAGACATTGGTCAGTTTTCATTGTTTTTGTGAAAGTGTGTGTGCATGTCGTCATTCCGAGAATTCCACGATTCATCTTGATTCGTTGACCTACGATGCACACGCACACTCACACACATATACACGTTAACACAGTTTTACAATCACAACTCACATTTTAACTTTTTCAGAAGATCCCGTTTTCTCCCATCGTCTCATACTCTCATCAGCTAGTGTCTTATTTCGCGATATGTTGTCTTTGACCAATGCAACAGGCATGGCATCTATTGGTTAGTCAATTTTAAAATGGACATGCAAAAAACTACTTGGAAGTATCCATGATGTCGTCTTCTTCTTGTTCGTGTGCTCTCTCGTTCGCTCATCTTTCATCTTTCTCGTAGACTTTTTTTGTTCATGTTCTTCATGTGTCTTCTTCCTCTTAGTTGCTGCAACAAAAATATGAGAAAGATTATTGCTTAAAAATAAGCAAAGGTTAATAATGACGTGGAAGACAATGATGATGACGATGATGATGTAAATTGAGGGCTGAACTTATTTGGTCTTCATCATTGTTTGTTATCGTCATCTCTCTCTCCCTCCCAGTCTCTCTCTCTCTCTCTTACATCATCTCATTTCATTCTCAACAGGATGAAGACAGACCAACAAAAAATTGTTAAAACGTTATTCATTTGAAGATTATTTAAGAAACTATCAATACCCTTTCCATATATGGCAATCATCTAACCTTTGTTTTCTTAAAGCAATTTCATTGTCCTAATGTTTTCCTTTAGCATTTCGTTATCTTTCATTCATTGTCACCTTAGGTCCATGGCTCTTCTATCTCAAACCATACAAAGAAGTAAAGTTCAATAAGGTGTGAATGGTTGTACCAGGCTGTAAGTCTGAAGTTGTTCTTCCTCATCTCTTTCTATCTCCTTCTTTACCTTCATCTTCTGAAACATCAAAATGTTGTTTCGGAGGATAAACATCAAAAAAATAAATAACAAAAGAACTCAAAAGATCATCCAATGACGGATGATGTCTTACTCACTTTTGCTTGAACGTTTGACATTAAGACACATACCCGACCATTCCAATAGAAATCCCTAAAGCTACAGCTGAATCAGCTAAGAGAATCCTTAATGGCATCGACCTTTTGTATATTGTGCTTTCATCTTATAGACATCATTGTCTGCGTGTGTCTTTGGGTATGGGTATGTGTGTGTGCATGTGTATCATCTGTGTGTGTGTCAATCTAAAGTAGCAATCTGTAAACCAATCAAAAAATAACTAATATAACTAACTGATCAAACATAGGTCAAAATACACCAAAATTGACAAGTATCAAATAAATTTTCGTATTAAGGCGTCCATAGCATGATGGGATAGCAACAAACCTAACTTGTCCTGTTACAGATGTTGATGTTCGAACCATTCCAAACGGTCTTGCTGCATTCAAAGCTGTAATATCATCCCTATACTCAGGTCAAATTAGTTTTGAAGAAGCTGAAGCTATTCAAGTAAGCACATACCTCTCATTCAATTAATTATTCATATTCATTAATCATTACAGATTCTCTGGGTTGCTCGAATGTTTCAGATTCCATCTGCTGAATCGAAGGTTTTGACCAATGCACTTGAGCTTAACCCATTATCAATGCTATTACATACCACACCGTTGTTCAACCAAGCAACACAACGTAATTCCTTTTTCCATTTCTAAAAATCAAAAAAATAATACAGAAGAATGTTTTTTACTTTTTTTGAAAAAAAAAATTCAATAACAACCGTCTCTTTGACTGTAATCGATATTGAAATGAGCCTCGATCTGACGTTGCGCGTGAGATATGACGTGACGTGATATTTGAAATTATGCAAATTTCACTCTCACTCAAGTACTTTAATTGCAGTTCAACAGTATCTGCAGTCATTAATGACAATATGTATGCAGCCAGGACTACTGACCACAGCTACCACATCAGCAACATCACAATCTTCTTTATCTTCTAGTCGTTTAGTGCCAACCCCATTACTCACACCTCCCTCATCCGTAGAAGATGTGTAAGTGAGATGACACAATAACATTTTCTGACGGAATTTTTTTCCAGAAGTGTTACTGATGGACAGAGTCTTTCACCCGTGTTGTCACCACCGAGTGGTTTAGCACCAACAGAAAAAATTGTTCCCAACGATGACAAAGAAGGTAAGCGGAAGTCTAACCAATTGCTTCATCAACACAACCTCATTATAACATTTCATTTACGAGATCACATATTGTCATTTACAGGTTGGTGCAGAAATAAGAAATACATTGAGAAAGTGGATAAAGGCTTCATGTGTACAGTTTGTAGAAAAGTGTATGGACGTTACAACTCTGTATCATATCATGTAACTATATATCACCGAAATCCACCCATAAAGTGAGTTGTTATTGGGTTTTGTTCGGAAACTGCTTCTCTTTGAAGATGCGAAGAGCCGGGATGTCAGTTTTCTACACGAGAAGCACGCTATATCCATTTCCACAAATACTATCGGCATCAGATTCCCTTACCTGATACTATAGACCTTGGTATGTCTTGCTTTTGTTTTCTTTCCATATGAACATGAGGCAGCTCTTACTAATTACCATAATTCAGGATCTCGAAAATGTCCTTTCTGTCGCCATGTCTCCAAGAGTCCAGCAATGCTCGAAAAACACATCGCACGACATGAGGCCGAACGAAAGGATCAGTCTAATCACAATTGCGACCAATGCTTGTTTAGGTAAGAAAAAGAAAAACACTCTAAATAACTTGTCAGAGAGAGGAAGTGAGAGAGAGAGAGAGAGAGATTCATAGAGAGCTTCTGCTCTGAGAGTGATCATGACGTGGTCGCAATGGAATTATATTGCAAAACTTTGTCTGATCACTAGAGAAGACAGACAACTTTACTACGACCCTGTTTTTGACTTTTTCGAATGTTGACAAGTTCCGACAATCTCGTTTTCCATTTCCCAAATATCTCACTAGTAGTATAACACATCAAGAAACGGATACTCTTGATGATGATGATGTCCTTAGCGTTCTAGAATCTAAAAATTAATGTTCATCTTTGTTCTTTGCCATATATGAGTGTGTGCATGAGAAAAACATAATGCGCTGGATGTTCTCATAGTCTTCTAAGACGCTATGAAAACAGTCAGATGTGTGTAAAGTTATTTGTGAGTCTTACAAACTCCCTTTGCTTACGAAGACCAAGAGATCGAATAATACTCAACGTCATATTAATAAATAACTTTCAGAGGCAAAACTGCTCAGATGTTACATCGGCATAAGCAATTCTCACATTCTGGAGACGTGTACTCCCCTTCGTACCCTTGTTCATTCTGCTCCTTCATCACAACTTCAGAATCTGCCCTTCTGGTGCATCTGGCCTCTCATGTAAGTCTGACCGAAGGCTCGCTCGATATAGATAATAACGAGAAGAGCCTGAAGATAGACTTGGAGGAGAGTGTCGGAGCTTAAGGAAGATGTAGATGAGTGAGAAGGAGGAGGAGGAGGAGGAAAGAAAAAGGACGAATTCTCAGATCAGAAAGAATCGAAAGAAAACTTTCAATCGCTGTACATGTACTCAAATGATCATTTAAACTGCCTTGAAATCGTAACGGGACATTTTTCGTAACAGATAGTTTCTTAACAATTCTTAATATTTATCTCACCTCGAATGTTTCATTGTCATTTATCTATTGCCTATTGTACTTCCCTGTTCACAAACAAACTTTATAAATCTGATGTATTAAAGTGTATTATCAAAGATTGTTGAATGAATTTCAGCTCTCCGTCTTCTCTTCTTCTTCTTCTTCTCACGATAGACCCATCCGCTTTCCAAACCGTTTTTTTCAAAAGGAAGCTATAGAGTTCCGTCCATACAAGGATACAAGGTCTTCGCGACAGCTTTCTCTCGGCCCCTACAGCTCACAAAGATCGTCAAGAGAGAGAGAGAGAGAGAGATTGATACATGCAAATGGTTTATTCAAAGTATACATTATTTTTCTGGATGAGGCTGTTGAACCGTATCTTCCACCTGATATCATTGCAAATGAGTTCTTCTTATTATTAATCATCACATTCAAAATCCCATTTGAACTGTTGGGTGAGGTATGTCTTGAACTGTAAACTTTTCTTTTTCAACTCGGCTGAAGCTATATCCGAATCTGCAAAGACAGAGTATATGACATACACAGAGAAGGCAGTTAACCTCGAATGTTTGCAAACAGCATAGACAGTGTAGTTGTTAAGAAGTTGTCTCTCGAAACGATGTCAATGAAAAAGTCTTTAGGACATTCTTTCAATTGGAAAAACAAAACCTGAAAAAAGGAAATGAACTGATTCTTCTCCATATATCTCTCTCTGAGAACGTACACGGATGAATGCTATGTAGAGATCATTAAGGGTAGCAAAGGATGAGGGACAACAGCATAACAAATGAATAAATCTCTTCCACTGCTCAAAGCCTTCAAAAACCTGCAAATTTGATTCATCAGAGTTTCCCAGCACACCCAGAAAGATACTTGTCCAATGAGGAAACAGACAAAGGAGAATTCAACTTCCTCAATGAGTTTCTTCCAATCGTTTCCTAGTTTGTTAAGAAGCAAACACAGTTGTTGAGAATGATCGACACCAACTCTTGAGGTTGTCTGAACTTTTCAAAATCATGATGAGAAACATGCTTCAACTCACAGTTAATTGAGGGAATTCAACGAAGCGAATTTCGTACCCTTCGCGGATTTTCATGATTGGTAGTCCACTTGTGTCCACAAATCGGATACGTTTGGGGTTCTCGCGATCTACACTGTTACTCGCACGAACATTTTCGTTCAACTAAAGAGAACATCAAATAACTGCTTTTTAGATGAACATACCTCTTGGTTCTCCATGATCGATGTTTCCATGCTGACCAACTCAGCTTGAGCTGTGATTCTACCCTTCAATGGATGTAACCGTCTAACAGTGCTTTCATTGACGTGTTGAGTTAGGGCGAACCATGATCGATAGTTTTCGAATGGGTAAGGACCCAAATTGCGATCGATGTTCCTTAAGTTTGCTCTAATCCTATCAATCTGGAACTCAGAAGTATATGGAAGACTCAGAATATAAGGTCACCTCTTCCTGGCTCGCCTCCTCATTAGCAAAATCTTCATCTTTGGTATCCCAACGCTTAATAACAATCTCACCAGCTTTGAAAGTGTGGAAAAATCCTTTGAAATTCTTTCATTTTCAAATACTGGTTGTTGAAGTCTTACCGATTCGTGGAGTTCCTTTCACACTGCAGTAAATGAAATGTACTCCGGGAGGAATCATTTTCACTCCCAAGAACTTCTCGGCTACATTCCAGGATTTATAATCGATTCCGAATTCTCCTCCAATGGGGAAGTCTTTTAAAATCTTAAAACCGAAGATGGGACAGGTTGAACAAGAGGAACATACCAAAAAACCTCCACCTGCAAACATGCATTGTGCAAGCTCTTGTGGAATGTCAGCGGCAGACTTGACATCCTTGAATGCATCGGCAAAACTCATGTCAAATTTTAAATTTTTCTTAAAATTTTTTTGAAATTCGAATGTTAAGGGACTGACGCGAAGTTGCGTACGTCACGTACATCCTGCCGCGACCGTTCGTCAAAAAGAATGGAAATATCAATTTACTACAATTTTCCTAAAATTGAAATTGGAAAAATGTAAAATGAGGAGGGAGGATAGGGGGAATGAGAATATCCGTCCGATTGAATTTAAAACAAGGAGTTGCGGAAGAAAAGACGTGTTTGTTTATAAAGTTTTGAATTGAAAGTCGGTCATAGTTTCATTAATGACGTTTTGCATTGAGATGATTGGAAGGACTTGTGAATATGACTACTTGTCGCACGACATCACAAATCAGCTGAGCGTGCGCTGATAGTTCGGTATGCTTCGCATATGCGTGTGTGTGTGTGTGGTTGTGTGTGAGTGTATGTGTGTGTGCGTGGAAGTTAACGATAGTCGTCGTTCTTACTACTGCGAATCGCAAATAAACGTTTATCAATATTATTATTCGTCCTATTTATATATCAATCTTGAATGTTTTTCTTAAGAGAAAGAGCTCAAATGAAATTTTTGTTTGAAAATCTTTCTCTAACTTCCATTTGCATTTTCTGAGAGCTTTCTAAGCAGAGGCGATTCCCAAAAAGGCAAAATAAGCAATTCTACGATGAAGAAAGCAGAAGCGCATACCTACCAATTATTATTTGTTTTAACTAATGTCCAGACAGCCCTATTTAGTTTCTCATCACATCCCGACTTCACATAATGAGCTTTTACAAATTTCTTGAGAGCCGTTTGGAAATTTGATACAAAAAAATGGTGAAACGATGACATTAATCTCCAGGTAGAGCTGCCAGACATTCCACATCAATCACACATGCTTGAATGGGATAAGAAATTGAATATCTTTTTTTACTAAAATTAACAGATGAACATATGTTACGTCAACCATAACTCACGTATGCGTGAAAAACACGTGAAATTCAAATTTCTTTTTCTCACTCTCATTTTCACTTTCGCTTGCGCGACGAACGGTTGGTCTATTTTCTTTTTTTCCCTTTATTCTCATTTTTTTCCATCCCTCTTTCTCTCTCTGTATCTCTCTTTCGTGTGTGTCCCCATCCCCTCCAATTTCATGAACACATTTCAACATTTTTCGTTATTGAACACATAAAGATTTTGTTATGTGAAAAACAGAATCTCATTAGAACATGTTCTTACAGTTATTTGTATGTTCGGTATAAAAATCTTATTTATTGTGCTCATATCTCATTCAATTATGTAAAAGAGAGAAAGATAGAGAGATGAAGAGAGAGAGCCGCTCAGACGAAATAATGTTAATTGCTAATTATCTTTTTTTAAGAAAAGAAAAGCTTCATTGTTCCATTCTTCTACTCTTCGCTTATACACTCCCTCGTATTTACAGAAGAACACAGAAAGTAGGTGTAATGTTTAAAATTGATATTTTCGTGTTTTTCTTTTTTTTTTCGAAATTCTTCTCAAATTGTCATTTTCCTTACATAACTTTACTCTTCCTCTTCCTTCCCTCCTTTGCTTCATCTCTCTCTCTCTCTCTCTCTCTCTCTCTCTCTCTCTCTCTCTCTCTCTAGTTATTGCCGTTATTTGTACCTCTTAAGCTTCAAATTCTCGTTTTTGATCTAGTTCTCTTTGAATTCAAACATACGTCTTCATTCCTCTTTGAAGCTTCTCTCTCCCCCTCTCTCTCCCTCTATCTCTCTATTCCTTCTCTCTATACGCGTTTGTTTAGCCATGCATATCCGCTGCTGCCTCAGTGATGCCGAAAATTTCTCGGCTCTTTAGAATACTTTCTGAATATGGATGTAGCAAGGCTGTGTGACACTCACAAACCTCTCAACCCATACATTTTCTATTTGAATATATATGTATATGTATATCTATATATATATATATATATGATATAGTATAGCATATACACATATTCATAAGTATATTATGAAATAAATAAAATTCCTTTACAAATTTAATCATCTTGTTAGTCAAAAACTTCATTTTCAATTTTATTTTGTTCTTAATTGCCAATCAAGCATCTATATGTGCTAAACAGCATACAATCTCGTTTTTTGAATATTCGTCTTCTTCTTTTCGTATGTCTGCCTATATATGTCTGTCTGTGTATGTGTGTAGAAAATGCAACCGCTCATCAGTCTTGTTGAAGCTCAAAATGATTTTTTCTCTTCGCTTGTCAGTTATATGACGTCACATCATTTCACGTACGTCAATATGCTAATTTCCTGTTCATAAAACTTTTTATGAAAAATATTTGTAAATCTTTCATTCTTTTTTTTTCTTTTTGCTGTTCTCAAAAGATATATTACAAAAAAGAAAAATATTGGCCAACTGGTTAAGACACATGTTCGTTTGACCAATTGATAGTTGTTTTAGAAATTGTATTACAAAGAGCTTAACTATATTGTTGAAATGAGTTGAGCATATGAAGTAGTACACATGATGACAACGACGATATGTCTTGGTCCCATCTCATCTCATATCTCCTGTATGGAACTAATCATTCCATCGCTGTTTGATATGTATACACACGTTTGTTGCTTTCATTCCTTCTTTTTTCTTTCTATATCTCTGTCATTTATCCATACTCTCCTCATAATGCATACTCTCTACATGCTTTTTCCATCTACATACGATTCCGTCTATTTGCCATATATCGGTTTTCGCATTAGCTTTCGTTGGTTGTCAAGCCTTCTGGCACTACTTATCCTATTCTTTCCCTCCATCTCCTCCGTTTTTTTTTATAAATTTATTAGTTTTCAACTTCCACTATCGTCAATCAGTATCGCTTTCTGTCTTGTGTGCCCTCTTGTTGGATTTTGAATTGCTTTGTCTTACATACCCTCACTCCCTCTCTCTCTATGTATATTTCCATTCGTACAAAAAGCTTTTTTTATGGTTAACTTGCTTTCAATTCTATTCAATGATAGTTTCTCTTCGTTTGGGGGCGAGGAGGGAGTAAATTTCTGTAATTCTTCTCCATCTTCCTCTAATTATTCGTTTCCCTCCCCCCCCCCCTTCTCTCCCTCTCTCTCTGTAAAGATCTTCTTCTCCATCGCTACAGCTTATTGCCACCATTTGTGCCATTGATGAAGAAGAACATTTTGATCAAATTTTATAGATTTTTACACATTTTTCATAATGATGTTTTATGAGAGAAGAAGTTGTCATTCTCGAAAATATGTCTGTGACAGCTTGAAAAGATTTTTTTGCTTTTCTCCTCATCAAACTCTTACTCTGTATTTTTTGCTTCAAATGCCTTTTTGTATCTTCTTTATCGAGAATCGTCGACGATGGACGAAAGAAAGAGAAAAAGAAGAAGAAGAAGAAGATGAAGAAATAGCCAGAAGGAGGAAGACTGAAAAACGGATGAAGCTTACTAACGGGCTAAGAGTCTGCTTGAAAAGTCAAGAAAACTCCATTTACGGCATTTCCTTTCGAATGAAATGAAAAAAAAAAGTTTTTTTTTCTCCTTTCAACTCATCCAATCGAATGTTGTGATTGCAAAATCAAATTCGATGAATGCATTGAGATCAGTTGGCCTATCCTGTTATTTCTCACATACTTTACTAGTAAGATAAAGCCCCCTTTTAGTTGTAATAGAATTACAAATGCACAAAAAGGCTTCTTCTTCTCCTAAAGCTCTACGTATTCTCTTTCCAGAAACATACCAATTAGTCTTTTTTCATAACAAAATTTGAATTAAATCATCACTTTTTTTGTTCTCTTCACATTCTCAATCGTGTCGACATGCAAAAGCCCTCAGGCAAGGCTTTCCCTTTCAATACAAATTCCCAATTCCTTATAAAGAGAGAGAGAGAGAGAGTAAATCTCCTGTCCTCCCCCTCTCTCTCTCTTTCCCTCCGTTTCGTCTTCATTTTCCTTCTATACATGTTCTTCCTCTACAACTATGTTTATCTCATCCATTCTGATTACCTCCTCTTCTTCTTCAGATCAACTTTCAACTTCCTGAAGCAGCAGCTTGACAAGCATAAACATCATTTTCCTCATCTAGTCAGCTGCTTCAGATTCTTGACCATAAGACTTTAACATCTTCTTCCTTATCAACAAACCCCGGTTTCCGGAGAAAAAAAAGAAGGAAAAATAAAAGAGAAACGAAGCATCTAGTAAAGCACATCAGAGTTCTCTCATCTTCGCTCATCTCAACTAACTCGCCTCTGTTCTTGTTACCTGATTCGTTCGCATCATTGTTTCATTCTCTCTCTACACACATCTGTGTATGATTTCAGTTTTTTTTCGTTTCGCATGGTTTAATTGAGAATTCAACCTTCTCATATTCTTCATCGCAACGTTCCATTTCACAGAAATTACCATAATCTATGAGGTTTTTTCATCTCTTTGAGATCTACTATTTCTCAGTCCCCCCCACCCCCCTCACTTATCTTTCTTACACTCCATTTCCATATAAGCTAATTCGGGAGAGAAAAACTTGATTCATCATCATCATCATCATTGCCAACATCATCAGAGATCGCGTTTGCTCGAGATTTCTTTTTCGTTCACTTCAAAGAGTGGAAAACACAAAAAATAACTTCTATGGCAAACAGGCATAATCCTATTCATCGTTCAAACTGAACCGCCAAATACTTCAAATGAGCTTCTCTCTTCTCTCTCTCTCTTCCTCTTCCTTCCCTGTTCTTCTTCTTCTTCTTCTTCTTCGTCTTCATTCTTGTCCAATTCTGATTGAAAATCCTTTCAATTCAATTGGCATCATCATAAATTCAGTGTTTCATTAACTTTTTAAATAATCTCAGAAAGGGTTTGGTGAGCGATTCGTGTTCTCCAGTTAACTAAAGTTCATTTCATTCACAGTTTGATGAAGTCATTTCCTTATTTCCTCTCTTTCGTCATTTCTCTTCTTCAGCAGTCCCACTCTCCCTCTTACCAGCAGCCCCCCCCCCTCACCCCTACGAACAATAAGTGTTTTCACTACT